CATCAGTGACCACTGACATCTGATAGCAGATCTTGAACAGTTTTTGTCGCCAATCTGCTGTTAGATTCTATGAGCAGGCTGATCACAAGTCTAATGTGAACACAGTTGATGTCCATTTACTAGCAATTTCCGAGTAAATCTGTTACCAATTTGCTGGAATATTGTGTGCATTTTGCTTACTGGGTATATAATTGAACTTTATCTAAAGCAATAATGTACAATTTGATTATATTGGATAAATTAATAGGTGATATACATAAAAACAAATATGTTTAAATAAATATTTAATTGTTTAAAATAAGATTAAAACTAAAGAGAAGATAGGCGCTTTCTATCAGCAGAAATACTGATTTGATTGAAATCAATTGTTTACAATAGAAATTACAACCAAACTTGAATTTGTTTCTATTGTTTTTTATTAGTCTTTTAAATAGAGTAGTAACAGATACTTTGTTTGTACATAGGTTGGTACCAAGTACCAAACTATTCACTTAAATACGACATTCCCACCCAGTTTCTTGGACCCATTACTAAGAATGTCACTAGCAGCAGATGCTGAAATGAGACTTCTAGTACAAAAAATATTCCACACTCTAATTGATAGACATCGAAATATTATGAAACTTGCTAAACCAACGTAAGTTTATATCTCTTGCTAAATGTTTATAAATGTAAACATTATTTTATTAAAATTTATAATTATTGTTTCTCATTTTTTATGGCTTATATCATCTATGATTCTTTGCTGATAATACGTCAACTTTCCTCTCTTTTTCAGTGTAAATGTGATGGAACTTGGTCTTGTTATTGAGAAAGCATCTAGACCTGATGTGATTTTTATTCGGAAGCATGGACCTGAAATCTATTTAGCACTATATGAATCATTAGAGTTGTCTAGTAACACTGTGGAAAATGTGGAATCTATTTATACTACATTGGCATTACTTGCCATTGAATTGGCTTCTGAGGAAACTGTCTTAGAATTATTGAGATTGGTGTTGAGCCTCCAAGATTTAGCATTGACAAGTGGTCAAATTAGTCTTTCACTAAAATTTAATTTACATGCAACAGTTATTAGTTTATTAGTTTTAATATCGTATGTTTGTAATATCACTGTACTTATGGACTATGCAAAAAAGGTAGGTAGTTTTTCTTTCTAATCATGAATTTATTTATGCCCCTTTTTTTATTTAAATTATGATAAATTTATTAAAATGTAAACTTCCCAATCAATTGGACATATTTAAATCTATTTTAAGGTAGTGGACGCACGTCGAAAAGATAGCCCGCATTTATTACCGGATTTACAATCACAATATGATACTGCTCTGACATCCAGATTAACACCAGCTCTGTTGGTTGATCAAACCGTTGTCAGTGAATGCTTAAAAGGAGCTGGTCTTGATAGTGGAAAACTCCAGCAAGGCTCGGGTTATAGTAGTAATTCTTTACAACACAGGTGATATAACTATAGTAGTAATATAGCGAGTATAACGCTCAATAATTAGCTATGAATATTAAGTATTAGAAAAGAAGTGTATACTCAAGGGCAGGAATGGTGTCCCTCGGCGGTTAGGTGTATACATATATGACAATCGAAAGTATCACGCATACACACGGATCACGTATGTATGTATATGTATCACTTGAAGCGCGAAGATCAAGCAGCGAAGGAGAAAAAAGTGGGAGGCATTCCGATGTTGCATCCTTATCGCAGGTCATATGATCGAGAGAGAAGGCAATGCAAGACGTGATGCCAATTAATGGTGTCCTATATCTGTCTCACTCACTCCAATTGAATGCAGGCAGTGCGAGTGAGACAGTTATAGGACTCCGCGCTGGCTGGACACCGCTTTCGGCTATCATACACGTATACATCTAGCCGCCTAGAGACACCATTCCTGCCCTTGAGTGTACATTGTTTTATACATCAGTTATACATAAATCAAATAATAAATATTCTCTGTTAGGCATTCTTGGGTTGACAGTGCTGGACGAAATTCATTAGCCGATATTAATTCTGGAGGTCCAGAATTAGACAGTGGAGGTTCATCACCTAGTATACAAAAGGTTTTAAAATTGAAAAATATTAAAATTTATTGCAATATTCGCTAAATTAGCTAATGTATTTACCGATTATCATCTCATTTTGCTTATATGTTTCCTTTGATCTTCTGAATTACTTCTACTGTTTTATATTATTATCTTTTATCTTTAATTAATTTTTTGCAGAAATTACCTGGAGAAGAATTAACATTTGAAAGCATGAAAAGAATCTTGACAGAAAATAATAATAATCATGTAATAGAAGAAGAGAAACGAATGCAACTTTCTCAATTTTTCAGAAATGCGCCATTCCAAGATTTAGTGTTAAAAACACAACCTAAGGTATAAAAATGTATTATTTGTAATATTCTAAAAATCATTCCAACTAGTATATTTTTTCTAATCTTTTCTTCGATTTACAGCACGATGTTTTACAGAGTAAATTATCCGAAATATTTAATACTTTGTCTGTTGAACCACGCAACACAATTTCTACAACTGGACCACAAACGGATATTAAACCAAGTCAAACTCCATCTTATGAAATTCACTTTCCTGAGCTGTTTGTATATTAAACCACTATTGTATATTAAACTATTTTTGTTGAAATAACATTAGCCGAATATTAGTGTTGCATTGTTTTAGATCTTGCACATGTTACAATAAGAGCAATTAATTCGTAACGTTTAAAAAATGACTCATGTATATAATAAAAATTGGAGAAAAAAAGGTTTTGTTTTTTGCATAATTAAATTTTTTTTTTATTAATGTTAATAAATTGTGCGTGCTTGTAACAAATTCTCTCTCTCTCTCCCCTCTCCTCTCTCTTTTTCTCTCCTCTTCTCTCTCTCTCTCTCCCCTCCTTTATCTCTCTCTCTCTCTCTCTCTCTCTCCCTCGTGAATTTGCTTTTAATGAGTAAAGGTCAGATATTTTTTACATATGTACGTATCATGGGGTATATTGAAAAATTATAATTATTTTATAGTTATTTTTATTAATATAGTCATTTTATAGAGAATTTCAAGAGATGTATTCACTTGGAACGCTCATGCATTTACACTTATACTCCGTCCAGCGAGAGAATGACTTCGGATTGAACGAAAACTCGTCCGTTTCGCGCAAGTCTCCACCCAACACCCAACAGAAGCCGTATCTACATATATTGAGTACCTCGCTATGTTCTCCCCACTTTGCCCGCTTATGTGCAGACCTTAGAACATATATAAATGGAAGGGGAATGCCTTTGTTTCCCGATAGAAAAACATGTCGGAAGGAAGTGAGAAAGAAAATCATAGTTGCTTCTCTCTTGTGAGTAACTGCTCAAAAGTGCGCATGCACGGCTTACCGGTTTGGCCCAATGAAAAATAAGGTTACATTAGTCACATGTGTGTATACACAAGAGTATGTATATCTACAGACACGATGCTTGTATGTGTAGTTACTCACAAGAGAGAGGCAACTACGATTTTCTTTCTCACTTCCTTCCGACACTTTTCAGCCTGCTATTCCCCTTCCATTTATATATGTTCTAAGGTGCAGACCGAGGTCATTCTCTCACTGGACAGAGTATATATTATTTTCAACCATTTCTTTTGGATTAGCACTCGTATGTAAAGATAATTTTAATAATTTACAAACTACAAACTAAAAATTGCAAGATTAATATTGTAAGTAGGGTCACTAACTGTTCCGAATTTTCCGGGACATCCCGATTTTCGGCTCTCATTAGAAACGTTCCGAAAGAACCTTAGACGGGACGTTATTTGTCCCGATTTTTCATAAAATAAATAATATAAAACATAATAATAGATCGTACTAAAATTCAGGTCCGTGGTTAAATTGAAACAAAAACAGTCAGCCGGTCTGTAGAACTGTAAAATTTTATGTTGATTTTTCATTGCTTTTATATTTGGTTGATGAGTGTTCTTTAATTTTATTTTAAGAATTTTATCAGTTTAGTTTTAAATTAATGATTAATTATATTAAAAAATAATAGAAGACTATGTTCTGTTGATTGTTTAACGTTAAATGTGAATAGTAAATATAAGCCGAAGATAAGAATCAAGATATGAGTCAACTATCAAATTAATCAATTTAAAGTAAACTATAAATACGAAACGAATCTCTATAGTCAAAAACTGGTTCTTTCTATAGTATTAGCCGGTATTATAAAAAGAAAACTCAATAAAACTGCAATATTATAACCACATTATGTTTCATAATTAAAATTATACGAATAAAAAAATCCCGATATTTTTTATTATGTCCCGATTTTTAAAGGTCGATATTCCGAAATTGGTTGATCAAGAATTGGTCACCCTAATTGTAAGCCACGAATAAGCGGACGAAAAATAACGGGGCTCGACCGGGATTCAATCCTAGGACCCAACTTGTCGCTAGCTGGCATATTCTGCCAGTGAGCCAAACTTTGCCCCTTACCAGTATATTTTCTCCACTCCAATTAGAAATTCCTCTCTAAATCTTATAATATAATATGATATAATTTATTTTCCTATAATACAATCAGAACAGTCAAGCCTTGTAGTTTTGGTTTGCCTTTTTTTTTAAATTATATACATATACATAACTTAACAGATAATGATGCAATCAATAAGTAAATACATATAAAACACAATACTGATAACAATAATTATAAAAATATTTGAAAAAACTATATATACAAGCACTTTATATATATTTTCTAGATTAGAATCAAGAATTCAGGAATGTCTAAAACATTTTGCACATGATACATATTTATATTATGAAGCATAGAGATATAAAAGTTTTATTTCAAATATTTTTTAAATATATTAAAACATACACACACAAATGTTATGTGTATGCTAAATTGAAAGTTTTATTTTGTAATATATTTTTATTCTTTTTTATACTTGCCTTCAAATTTATTTAAATAAACAAAATTTATTTATGTGAAAAAAAAGTATGTATATTTGAGGCAAAACCATTTTTTATTGTACTTTATCATATAGTCTGTAAAGGTCTCAATTATTAATGTGTAACTGTTTCTTTACATCATTGAGTTTTGTACAAAATATTTGAAAAATTACCAAATACATAATATTTGAATGGAATGAGCACAAGTTATTGTATATTTGGTGAATATTTGAGACTTCAACTGCTCATCGTAGGCACATGATTAGTCAATTTTAAATGAAGTGCAGAAGATAAATAACATCTCTTGGAGAGCTGATAATTAAACACACGCAGTAGTATACATTTTTGAAGTTTAACATTTATAGGGATGTTTGAATATTATCAACATAATAGTATGCATTGTGCACATTTCATTTTCACGCAATGCTAAAATAATCTTAATGTTTTATACGTTATTTTGTGAAAAATGCAATGTAGTTTTTAATGATCGAGCGATTGAATTAATAGCGTTTTCGAGTGAAGTAAGATTTGACTGCTCCGATTAAATCCAATTTTCCATGAAAATATGTTCGACCAAAAATAAGTTTTGAATTTGATTAATATAAATAAGCATATTTCTAGTAACCCAAGACGATGTTTATGACGTTATTAATCGCTCTCAGAGCGATCAAATTTGCTTCACTTGAAAACGCTATAAGGTATTGGCATATATGCTATGTTCATGCAACGATTACTAACATAATATAATTTGATGCATGTTTTTATTTTTTTTTGTTTATATTGAAATGCATTTGGTCAGTTTGGTACATTCTAAGAGGTATTTCAAGGCTCCACTTTCAGTAATTCCACATCAAATATGAGGACGGCATTTGGTGGAATAGTGTGTCTTTGTCAAGGCTAATATAGTTATCTGTGTTTTATAACAAATAAACTATATAAAATAATTCTATTTAATATATTTGATTATTCTATACTTAATATTATTTTGAATTAAAGGATATACTCCAGGGTGGCCTCGACTGCCGTAAGCATAATCTGGAGAACAAGTTAGCCTAGCCCTTTGCCCAACGCACATTTGCGCGACTCCTTGGTCCCAACCTTTAATTACTTCACCTTTGCCAATTTTGAACTTAAATGGCACACCGCGATCTCTGCTAGAATCGAATTTCTTTCCATTGTATATACATATATATTGTATAATTAACTCTATTATATTTACAATATTATAACATTTCATATATGCAAATTATTCATAGAAAAAAAAAGTGGAATATTGTAATCTTATTTTTTTATTATGTAGGTATAAAACAATAACTAAAATTTTTTTATATCTCTGAGATATATACACACAATAATATTTTATATTAGATATTATATTATCATGCAATATGTATAAAATTCAGAATATTAATTATATTCATATATAAAAATAATCACCTGTGTAATGTACAACTACTGTTTGCCCAGTCTTTGGATAGGTTTGACCTGCAAATATACAGTAACTTATGAGAAATATTATGATAAGTAGAATGTGTCGGTATTTAGAATTGTAGCAACAGAAATGAAAAAGAAATATTGTTGTATAGCGCAGAATCTACTTTGCTTGAATACAGAGACTGGATTAATTATAACATGAAATAAATCATGTTTATTAGCGGTCTTTTAGATTGTGTATAAGGCATATTTAGCGTATATTGAGCGAAACGCTAAAAGTTTCGGAGTATCGAAACGTGGTATACGGCGTGTAGAGCATTTCAAAATGGGGGAGAGGGTTTTCCAAAGAGACCAGAATAATGAAATTTCATGAATCCATAGAAGATGAAACTTATAATTACCATCACCAGGACTCAGAACTTCGACATCCACGCCCATGACTACGAATTTTTTCCGTACAACGATGAAATTCTCTTTTCAAAGTAGCAAGGTTCGCGCGAGAATTGATCGCCTGAACCGAATCGACTTACTCGGAACAGAGAACAAAATTCACGTAAAATGACACTACCTGACTGATACTACCCACAATCCACAGATAATAATTTCCAGTGATTCCAGATCATGAGATTATCAGACGCATGCGTAGTAACCATGAAGTAAAGCCCGCTGCACATGGTGCAATTTTTCGTGTTAAACCCGGATCTACAATAGGTGTAGTTAAGGGTAGAGATCCATAAGGGCCACCGCACAAGCTTTTCTAACGTAACGTAATGCATTACGGAAAAGCTTGTGCGGTGGCCCTAAGTCCGGATCTACAATAGGTGTAGTAAGCCTCAAGTCATAAGAAATTGATCAATCACAATCAAATGTGAGGAGAATAATGAATTGTTATTGGTAATTTTCTTACGGCTTAAGGCTTACTACATCTATTGTAGATCCGGTCTAATGGCCCTCGCATACTGGACGCGATGAGCGATGAGCGATGGGCGATATCCAATAAGAGCTCTGATTTTCCGAAGAAATAAAGCTCTCATTGGATATCGCCCATCGTTCATCGCTCATCGCGTCCAGGAGGTCGATCATGTACTTTTCCTCTAGGGCGGAAATGTGAAAAGTGAAAAGTTTCACGTGAACTTTATGATTCCGCTCGATTAGTGCAAGTCCACAATAGGTGATTTAAGCCCTAAGCCTTAAGAAATTGACTAATCACAGTCGAGTATTCTCTTCATACTTGATTGTGATTGGTCAATTTCTTAAGGCTTAGGGCTTAAATCACCTATTGTGGACCGGCACTAAGAGTCCTATATAATCAGAGAAGCGACAATGGCGTTCCGCTTGCTGATTAGCTGACCGCCACGGGCCCGTTCCACTTAACGACCGCAACGCTCACGGTATCATTTCATCTTTGTTGTTCACCGAAAGTTAAACAAAAACAGATAATGCTCGCGAGAGTTGCGGTCGTTAAGTGAAACGCGCCCTATGTTGGCAGTTAGTTTGCACGTAGTGAATCCTACGTACAAACTAATCGCAACCGGCGTACCGTAAGTAAGCAAAAAGTATATTTGTAATTATTTAAAAAAAACATTTTAAATATCTCTGAGACATTTTTAAGACATTTCAGATTACAAATGGACAGCTGTGGGCCCAACAGGGCGATCATGGGAAGCATGGAGGGGGTAACGATGTCGCTTCTCTAATTATATAGGACTCTACACTCGATCATGTAAAAGTGCGAACCCATGCAGCGGAATAGCGTAACGCGGAACGAAAGCGGAATCTATCACGAGCGTTTCGCAATTTTGTTCCGTTTTCAGTAGTTCCTAGCGGAATAGGTTTCGTAGATCGCGTAATGTACATACACATCTATACATTTACACATGGTAGTAAAAGCTAACTTCAAAGTTTTCCTTTATCTCTCAAAAATGAGAAATAACTTGTAATAATTAATAATTTATCTCTGTTTCTGTACTGACCACGTTGCTCGACGCTGCCAATTTAACAAAGTGTTAAATAAGTTAAATAAGTTTCAACGTGGTTTTAACCCTTTTAAAATAATAATTCGTGATTAGTTGCGCATTGGTCCGCGGTGCGTTCGTTACGCTCCATGGGGATGTAGGGACTTAAAATCCACGTTGCGAAAACTGCGGAACACTCGCAATTGGTTCCGCTCTTGTTCCGCGTTATGCTATTCCGCTGCATGGGTTTGCACCTAATGGTGCGGTCCCATGGTACGGAAAGTATGCGCAATGCGAAATGGCCGAACGAAATCCGTCCAATCGCAGACATTCCGCCAATTACGCTCCTTTCCTAAGACCTTTCCTAAAGTCTGTATCAGACTACGCATTGAAGATTGAGATTGAAGATCGAAGATTGAAATTTGACCAATCAGGACAAAAAAATTTTAGTCCCTTTTGTTTTGATTAGTCAAATTTCAATCCTTAATCTTCAATCTTCAATTTTCAATGCGTAGTCTGATACGGGCATAACAAGGAGACGTTGCAGCTGACTCTTCATCGATTTTGATCTCCTTTTTTTGTGGTGAATCTTCATTGAATATAGTTAAGCCCTGTAAGAGCTTTTCGTCCAATGCGCCTTGTAAGTAGTATTTTTTATACTTGAAATTTGGAGAAATTTGGAGAAATTTGGAGAAATTTTAATGTAGGTTGTAAGACATAAAGAAAGACACTTTATCGAACAGTGCCGTTGGCGCAAGGAGTAAGCGCGAGCACAGATTAATAGACAGATAGCCAAAGGCCCGGATGAAGGCGAGACCAGCATTTCTCACTGGTTTCAGCGCCATACCGTAGTAGTGGCCAAAGCAGTAATTACGTTCCCAAGGTAAAGTCGCGTCATTAATACGACGGTAATAAATTGACTATTTAATCAAAAACATTAAAAATGATTTACATTGTTTAAGAAAACATCGATCACATTGACCTCACCTTGAAAAGGTTACTCAAGGTCAAGTCTATATTTTTGTCATGTGGCCTTCTCGAAACCATATAACTTTTGTCTGAAACATTTCTTTCTATCTTGCTTTATTGTTTAAATATTTAGGTGTCTCAATATAAATGCCCCACCCTGTATATACAGCGCATTTACATCCGATAAAAATGGAGCCGCCCGTCTTTAGTGTGCGTCGCCGTAGCGACGGAGCGCTCACGCACACCACCATGCGCGCGGCTAAAGGTCGACGCTGATTGGCCAGACGTTACTTAATAATAACTCCTTTATTAAGTGTTATAGAAAAAAATGTTACAGGACTTTTCTGTTCAGTTTGCTGTGCTCTACTTGCTTATGAGCGTTGTCAAGGATGCTTTGGGACATCCTGTATATACAAACATATGAAATAATTTATGCATATACACAATATATACAGCATGTCGGATTTAAGTAAATACACTTAATTATTTCCTAGAAAATTATAAATAACTAATATTATTAAATTACAAGTAATAAAAGTTCCACAAGATAAAAGACGAACAAAGAGACAAGCAATGAGAGCCAGGCGCAGGTTTTCGGGCGCAAAGAAATTAATGTTAATTAGTATTAAAATTATAAATAGATATAAAAATGAAAATACAATGAACGTATGTTTCGGCCCGTTTTTGTGCTATCTTCAGCGCAAGTTAAAAGTATAATTAAATTATCGCAATCGGACAAACTATAACATAATAAAGTCGTCTAGTAAAATAAAAACATGATAAATATGACATCAGTGAATAAAGAAATAAATAAATATATCAGTGAATAAAAAAAAAATATAAATATGTCATCAGTGAATAAAAAAAATAAATAAATATGACATTCAAGAAAATTTAAAAAAATGTATAAAAATCTTTAAAAACAAAAGTATTAACATTTCTCTGTAAAAATATTTCATTTATTTCACAGTAATTTTATGTAGGCAAATATATAAGAAGATTTATGCCTATTTAATATATGTCAAATATTTATTTCTATGTAGTAAATAATGCATATTACATGTACATATCAAATAATAAAAAAAAAAAGGAAAAATGTTAACAGCGTAAATGGTTTCGAACCTGGGTTCTCGCTATTAGTGTACTCGCGCTTACTCTCTGCGCCAACGGCACTGTTCGATAAAGTGTCTTTCTTTATGTCTTACAACCTACATTAAAATTTCTCCAAATTTCTCCAAATTTCAAGTATAAAAAAATACTACTTACAAGGCGCATTGGACGAAAAGCTCTTACAGGGCTTAACTATATTCAATGAAGATTCACCACAAAAAAGGAGATTAAAATCGGTGAAGAGTCAGCTGTGACTTCTCCTTGTAAGATTCTTTCATTGTATCTATCGGAATAGTGTATATTATTGGCTCGCACAGACTACGCTTCCGCGTTTTCCGCTGCATAGGACAGTAGAGAAAATACTCAAGCGGATCGGAATCACAAATACATGCATATACTTGTCAAAATTCATATACTCCATACATAATATACGAACTGACAATATGAATTCTGAAAAATTATTTATCATTATTGGCGGATTATTGAAAAAATTTAAATAAAGTTGGTGTATATTTCAAAAGCAAGAACTACGCCGCAAGATCGTAAAATTTTACTCGTATATAATTGCAAAAAAAATGAGAATAATAGGAAAAAACGAAAATATTGGGTACGACCTATATTTAGTATAGAAAGAAGATTAAAACAAGGAGTAAGTGAGAATCTTGTTAAAGAAATGCTGGCCGAAGACATGGAAAAATACATGGATTACTTTAGAATGACACCTCAAAGAGATACGCTCAAATACGTCCGCACCCGACCACAGCCGTTTGTCGACTTCTTTTTTTTTATTAACATGCATACAAGTTTACAAGTAATAATAATTAATAATTTAATAATTCCGTCAATTCCGTACAATAATTGCGGATAGAAATTGGCGGAACGAACGTAAAAAAGATCGAACCAATCACGAGCGTTCCGCCATTCCGCATTGCGCATACATTCCGTACCATGGGACCGCATCATTAGAGAGAATTCACACTTTGGCAGAAAAGCAGAAAGCAGAAAAGCAGAAGCCAGTTAGAACTCGTGCTAGAAAAGCAGAAGCCAATCAGAACTCGCGCTGATAGTAAGCAGTACATTCTGCTTTTCTAGCGCGAGTTCTGATTGGCCTCTGCTTTTCTGCTTTCTGCTTTTCTGTCAAGGTGTGAATTCTCCCTTACTCTCCCAACCGCGGAAATGTAAAACTTTTCACGTGAACTTTTTCGCCATGAAACTTGGTGGCGGAAAGGCGGAAATCTAGGAAATTACTAAATATACTTCAGAATTAGAATAAGTGTGGTACCAGAGAGAAGCCTGAGAAAGGCAATGCCGGCGATTTTCGTGGGACGCTTTTTCTAGGCCGTAGAGCAGCGCCGTGCATCCACTTTTAGGAATTGGAAACACTTACCCACATCCACTTTTCGGTACTGTCAGTCAAATCTCCATATGGTTCATGTCCGTGCTACATCCAGTTTTTGATACTGTCGGTCATTTGGTTCATATCCGTGCTACATCCACTTTTTGATCTTTTCGATAGTGGTAGTACCAAGCAGTTCCGACTGACAACGTGTCGGGTTCGGACGTGTTTTTGCGTGCTGCGTATGTCCTTTGTCTGGACCTTTTTTTGGACTCCCTCCTCTCTTAGAGGAGTTTTGCTTATATTCTACAAACCCATAAGAAACAATGGTGTATGGGCGACTAATGCCCAACCAGCCATAAAAGAA